CTGGGTGTGGTGCTGCACACTAGCTGTAATCCCAGCGCTCAGGAGGCTGAGGCAGAAGGACCTTAAGTTACAACACAGGCTGGCCAACTTAGCAGGCCCTGTTTCAAAATGAAACTTTAAAAAAAAGGCTGGCAATTTCGCTCAGTGGTAAAGCCTATTATGTACAAAGGCCTGGGATCAATGAGTAGCAACACACACACACACACACACACACACACACACACACACACACCATACAAGGTAAAATGTTTAAAATACTGAGAACACACCTTCCTGCCTGCAGGCTGCACAGCTCCACATAGAAAGTCAGATGGACTTGGGAGGTCTGGGAGATCCAAGCGGGTAGTATTTCTCCTCTTGGTAGCAGGTGACCAGACATCTGGAAGACAGTGCTTCCTGCAGGAGCAGCAGTGTCACTGAGGAGCTGTACACCTGACCAGCAGCCTGGCCTCAAGGGAAGGACTGAAAGGCCCATGCAATGGGCAGGGTCCTAGAACTGACACAGCACATGGCAACCTCTGTAGTTATTTTAAAGAATGACTTTAGCTTACAGAAGTGACTGAAACAGAGGTAGCACACAGACAAAAACAGAAACATGGACATAGAATCCTACAGGGAACTGTAGATAGTCCCAATATAAGAGATGATCGTGAACAATGGAGTGTGAAGGAGCCTTTCCTCTTGGAGTTTTCCTGTGTGGTGGTATGGAAACAGGAAGGCAAATTCAGTTCTGAGGCTTCTGAAGGCATCAGACACAGGGTGCACAGTGATGAGGTTGATGGTAACAGTATTCCTCATGAAAAGTCACTCAGAGAAAGAACAGCAAACAAATAATTCCCTGTTTTTTTATGCAGCATCTGTTCAATGTTCAGCTAAGCCTCTGACTAAATCTTGGCAGAACTGGGCCCAGTCCTGGGTAGACAGACTCAAGCAAGTCCTAACTTGCTGACAGTCACCAATACTTTCTACAACTCATCACAGAATGTAAAAACACCGACTGTCCCCGCAAGGCCCTCTTCAGAGCTTGACAGCGTTTCTTACCCAGAAAAAGGAGAAAACCATACCCGTAACATAGAGAAACAGAAGTAGAGAGCAGAGGTCAGGGTATGACCCCTAGTCTAGAGTAGTCTGTGCTTTCTGAATGGGGAACTTGGGCTGCATGGTCGCAGGGTTTTTGAGTCTAACCCACCCCCTACATTGTCACAGGTCTCACCACCTGCCCTCCTCAGCTCTGTCATCAATTTTTTTTTTTTTTTTTTTTTTTTTTTTTGTGGAACCAGGGATTGAACTCAGGCCCTTGCGCTTGCCAGGCAAATGCCTATTCTACTGAGTCATCTCCCCAGCCCCTAGCTCTGTCATCTTCAGGAAGAGTTTGAAAGCTCTCAAGGGAAGACAGGAAAGGAGCCTTGCTCTGCAGGAGCCTGCATTAATGTCTCCTATGTTTAACTAGTGGTGCCCTCCCTGCCCACCACACTGTGGCTCCCAGGTCTCTGCCCTAGAGAGACACAAATGTGGGCCTAGCAGGAAAAGCAGGCTGGCTCTGTGGGGCTTGGCAAAAACTAAGATCCAAACATCTACCAGCAGGGAGCTGTTCTATGATGGCACGTTGGTGCTACAGGATTTGTGCAACAATTACAAATACATGAATTTACTTGAGAAAACTCCCTGCCTTGGGGTTAGTGAGATGGCTCAGTGGTCTAAAGCACCTACTTAGAACAAGCTTAGCAAAGCACAGGGACCACGGTTCAATCCCCCAGCACCACATGCCAGACTGCCCCGCCCCCTGGTGGGCTGAGCTGGACACACACACATAAATAAATAATTTTTTTTTAAAAACTCCTGCCTCATACATGTTAATTTTTTTACAACATAAGCTGCAAAAGAATATGTACTATTTTATTCCATTTCTGTAGAAATAAAAAGCACACAATCAAAACTACATATACATGTGATAAAGTGCGTAAGATCTGGGAAAGGTACAAATAAGCTAATAATAATTGTGAATTTCTTACATAATTGTCATTTCTGAGGACAGGAGGTTTCTCTGTCCTATTTAAGTGATTTAGAATGATAACATATTAGACATAACATGGAACAGGTATTTTCCATCAAGTATTGCTATGTTAAACTTTAAATCCCTACAGAATGTGAAGAAAAAAATAAAAATAAAAAATATTTTAAAAATAGGAATAAACAATTACATGTTTTTACACAGAAATTTAGAAATCTAACCATATACAACATTGTAGCAGGACAGTCCTATGACAGATAGTGAGGTTAAGCTCAAATGCCTATGTTATAGAAATAATATCATTAAGCTTCTCTTCTGGAGGGTTAACAACTTAAGGTTGCAGATCAAAAATTAGACAAAAAGAAGGGCTACAAGGACAGTCAACAGTTTAATCCTAGCCCTTCAAGGTCAATGAGGGCTCAGGACATAGGAGAACCTGTACTGTAATGGCATGTAACTCAGTGAGGTCCCAAATTTTCTGATCAAGGAGATTATGGGGCCACAGAGCAACATGATCAATGATGTAGAATGTGCCTAAGGAGAGTCACATGGAGAGAAAACATTTTCTCAGGTTTTCACAGAGAACAAATTGGTCAAGCAATGGCTATGACTCATCCACATGGCTGACACTGACAAAGGATCTACAAACTGCGGTACAGGGTTTCAGGGTAAATTCTGAGGGGATTTGACTGACCTTGGCAGATATGGAAGTTACATTTCTTGTTATATAAGTCTTGCTTTATCTGTTCTTAACCATTCAGCAGAAAAGTATAAAAATGAGGTACAAAAAGTAGAGCCATGTTAATATGCTGAGCCGCAACTTCTGACATTGTCAATCCTACAGATAACCCACAACTATTATGGACTACAGGACTATAATGGATTATTTTGCCGAATTCATGCACCTACAATATTTGAATGGCAATGGAATACTCATCTCTAAACTAAACAAAAAAGGAGATACAAATGAAGGACCATTCTTTATCTGTATATACAAAATAGGATAGATATACAGCTACTTTCTCTTAATTCAATGGGAAGAAAGATTTGTACTAAGAGTGTTTGGACAGGATATCATGTCTGCATCTTGTACTACGAATAACTACTATGAAGATAACAATATGTAATGCATTAATTATTGAAACTGTCCTACTATCCTGTTTGGAAACTGTCTCATTGCTATTTGTTTCTCAATAAAATTAATTTTAAAAAAGGATGTGTGTATGATATCATAAAAAAAGAATGGTAATTTATTAATTTAGTAATCATCTAGCTAAAATTTAAATTAAATATAATTATGTTAAGTAACAAAAAGAGGGAGAAAGGTCAGAAAAGATGAAGCAAAGAAAGTCCCAACAAATGATGGGAGGGGCAGGCAGCACTGGGGATCCCGGACTCCAGCCCCACTTTCGCTCACCACTGAGAAAGACCTGATGTACCTTCACCAGCAGGTCAGCACTCGGATAGGTTTCCTTAATAAATAGTTAGGTTTCTTGGACATAGAAGCAGAGATTCTTCACCCCACATAATGTAAATTTTTCAAATAGGAAGAGAGCAAAATGTCAGAGGAAATCATGGATCCCTAGCAACAAGCAGCAAAGAGAGTCCTCACCCCATATGACACTGACTAACAAGAGTCTTCCTACCAGCCTCTCAAAGTTGGGGTTCTCATTTCTCATCAGGAAAACCAGCCTCATTGTTTCCCATCTTTGCTTCCTGGAACAGGGCAGTTCCAGCTTCTGGGTGCCTGAAAATCTCAGAGAATACTTGAAAATATGAAGTCAGGCAACCAGGCCACAAGATCTGTCCCTAGCTTTGTCACTGATGAGCTCTGTAACCCTAGACAAGGCACTAAGTCTCTCAGTCCATTAAACACAGCTTTCTAATAGTTCCTCCACTGTGCAGTGTGAGTGTGCAGAGCCTAGATCCCAGTGAGCACTGTTTGGTAATGCTGACCATAGCTGCTAGCATTTTGATTGGAGATATCTATGGCTATAGCTATCAATATGTGAAGGCCACGAATCTGCATGTCACAGCAGATTTCACGGCCCATTCTGAGAAGCAGTGATTACATGGTGACTTCCTTGGGTAAAAGAAAAGTCAAACAAGACAACACCATTGAGGACCACATGAAGCAGGTAGCACAGGGGAAGGGGACTTCGGAATTGTTACAAAGACAAGCAGATGAATGTAGATTTAATTTGCAAATGAAATAAATAGTTAATGGAAACAAAATGGTAACATGTGGATTTAAAGATTTCCTTGGGGGCTGGGGAGATGGCTCAGTGGAATAAGCGCTTCCATGGCAAGTGCAAGGGCCTGAGTTCAATCCCCGGTTCCGCCAAAAAAAAAAAAAAAAAAAAAAAAAAAAAATTTCCTTGGCAAGAGCCAGCCAAACAGCTCAGTGGATTAAAGTGCCTGCAAGCAGGTTCAGGGGCCGGGGGATTCAATCCCCAGGCCTGCCATTCTGGACCTGCCCCCAGGGCACACTGAGACAACGATTGAGATGGGGCATGTGGTGAGTGCCTGTAATCCCAGCTCTCGGGAGGCTGTAAACAGGCAGATCACTATGAGTCTGATCTAGTAGTGAGACCCTGAACTCCCTGTAGACTCTTCCCTAAAATACAAAAAAAAAAAAAAAAAAGATTTCCTTGGCAAAAGAGGGCAAGGTGAGTGTGGAGCCTGAGAAAACCAAATGTTGGTATGTGTATACACAAAAATGCTTGAGTGTGTCTACACAACTATGCATATGCACTGTGTATGTAACTGTGCACTGGATCCACGTTCACATCTTGTCTAGAACATCTTCAACAGCTTGTTCCCCAAAATAAATATACAAGTGCTCATTCTATCTCCCTCTTTTCCCAACAGCCCCCCAACACACAAACCTACACACACATGCGCACACACAAATGCACACATGCATGCATGCATCCCACAGCCAGGGGTAGAGTGAAAAAGGAGGAGGCCACGGCCAGGCTGGACTCACCTTTGCAGCGCTCGCAGCAGGCGCCCCTCTGCTTGATGGCCAGGGCACAGTTGCGCAGCAGCACTGGGCACTTCTCCCGCTGGCACGTCACCTCCTTGTTCTAGGCAAAATGAGACAGGAATTACGGGAAATTAGTGTCAGAATCTCCAAAGCCCTGACCTACGCTGAGTTCCCCGCTTCCTGTCTTGCCTTCTTCTTGGCTGGAAAACATGGCGATGACAAATGGAAGCTCTCCCTCCCCAAAACAGAAATATCCACCCAGGAACACAGGACTCAGGGAAAGCAGGGAACAGCTAGACATGAGAGCAGATAAAATGTCCCTTCTCCAAGCACCAACTGTGCCCAGATAACGCAATGCCAAGGGACACACTTTCTCTGACTCTGTTCTATGATTTCTTTTTAGTGTGCGTTTCAGAAATGGTAATATTTGTATAAATAGTATTCTGCCTATTGGGCTAGGTGCCCAGGGCTACATCATGAGAACAAAAATATTTTCTCATGGCCAGCCAATGATCCCTAACAGTACATACATTAAAATGCAGCAATCTAAAGTTCCAACTCAAATAACACAATGTTGAATATTGAACTGGCTCCATTACAGAAAAACTAATATCCACATGCCAAGCAGGGACGTGACTGCTGTAATGTTATAGCCCTGGGACAGGTTCATTACCCTAGCACTTAGCTAATGAGTAGGTGGTGAGCATTTGCATCTTTGGTTTTATCCACAAAGGTCAGCTGTTAAGTGTCCTAGCAAAATAAGTTAAAAACATGACACGTATGCCTGTCTGTATGCAGAGCTGATGTGTGTAGCCCAAAGACAGATGCAGAATGTCACCACGAATGGGGCTAGCTCAGGGCTTACTGTGTGCGGGGCCCTGTGGCTTCCATTCCTATTTATAGTCCGTGAGATAAATATTATAATTCTCTCCTTTTTACTAACAAGAAAACCACACCACAGAATGGATAGTTAACTCGACCTATCTATGACAGCTGCTAAGTGGCAAACACAGAATGCAGTCTAAAATCATGAATGAACAGGCAGTCACACTCTAGCAGAATCAGGTGGCGCTGCTGCCACCACTAGCATGGGGGTGGTGGGAGAGGGCACCTGACCAGCTCTGCCTACTTGAGATGACCTAGATCCCTCTGTACTGTATAGGAAACCTTGCTTTGGTCCTGATAGTACAGTTAGAAAAACTATCAGGCAGGCTGAGGGGGCCACTCCCCTTCCTTCCTTCAACTATGGGCACAACTCTTCCCCAGTGATTATTCATGTTGAAGCTTAGGAGGTCATGATGCCCAAGGGAGCAGATCGTTGACACTAGGCAGACTGAATGGGAGGCACCTAGACACCCAGAGGTGAAGGTGTCTGGCCACAATGGGAGGCACCTGAGTCTGATCCTTGAGCTACCAGAAGCCTGAGTTATTGAGGGTTATTCTTCCTCAGTTCTCCTTCTTCCTCCTCCAGGCTCCCAGGACAGCCCAGAGCCCTCAAGCCAACACGCCAGTCCCAAGCATGGCCACTCACACACAGTCAGAACACCACAAGGTCCTTCACAGAGAACTCCATTATCACCACAATGTTCACCTATGATCACAGGTTCCTCTTTGTCCTCCTTTTTCCCTTTAACCTTCTGCCTGTTTCTACTGCTACTATCACATAACCTTCAATAAGTGTAGCTACTTACTACAAATTATTTGCTTGGCAATTCTTCCCTTGTTGTCCACAAGAACGTGGATGCTGCTGCTGCTGCTGCTGCTGCTGATGATGATGATGAAGATGATGATGATGATGATGATGATTGTACTTTTGCCCATTCAACTATAGCATCTGGTGAGTCCACCAGAAGTACACCACCAAACCTCAAAGACCTCACCTCAGCAGCCCCAGAGACCCCTGCAAAGGTGGGCAGTCAGACAACTCAGTCAGCAAGCAAGGTGACCCCCCCAGGCTGCTTGGAGATGCTCTCTCACTCTCTTTTCTAGGTAAAAAGTAGGTTCCTGGAAGGAAAGGCAGACTAATAGCCACATGCAAAAGACTAAATTATGGAACAAAAGGCTTCTGTTCTTATGGGTTGTCAGGAGGTGACCAGGCACCAGATCTCAGAGATGAGCTTATAAAAAAAGGATTAAAGACAAAGGCACAACTATAGCCTGGAGAGTCCAGGAAGATCAGAACTGCCTTGGAACTAAGATGAAGGCTTCTCTAGATTTCTCATATTTATTAGATTTCAAACAAGTTTGGGGTGTGTGAGAGAAAATAAAGGGAAAAGCTGAAGTAAAGGTGGAAAACTGAGCAGAACCTTGAGAAGTTAAAAGAAAGACTATTCCAGCAGTAAATTTTGCCAATTAAGAGAACTCTTATCTCTAAGTTTGTCAGTTACTGCCCTAGAATAAGGGGTGCTCAGCTGTGGTGTTACATTGTCATGAGACCACTGTGACTGGTAACTTAACCCTGCCAATCATTCAGCTTGCATTCCATTGCTGATCTACACAATGCAGAAGGTCCATCCCAGAGGTCATCCTAGCCACCTTAGCACATGCCTCAGCAAGGACAGCTGCTGACAGACAAAATGGCATAGTAGCCCACAATAGGAGACCAGGAGACACAGACCTGTCCAACCTTACCTGTTGCTTTTCTCTGAGGATTACCTGGTAACTTGCCCTGAACCTGGGTAGCTCTTTGTTCAGCACCGAAGGTGTTCGAGCTTCCATGGGAGTCATATACTCATGTGGTGGGCTCCCTTCCAGATTTTAGGCATTTTCCTTCTCCTTTTCTACACTCCTTGCTGACTCAGGCTTTCAGCTATCAGAGTGTTCCCTTTGTTTAATTGTTGGTTTCAGATAAACACAAAGAACAGGGTTAAGTAGTACAGTGTTTTCCTGAAGGGGAAGAGAGGAATTGGTCTGTTTAAACATCCTACCACCCACCTCTTCTGCATGAAGCAGCTGGTGAGAGACAGTGGCACAGTGGCCTGAAGGGTGGAACCAAACAGACTGGCTCACTCATTTTCCTGGGTCCTAAAACCATGACTAAAGCTGTTGCCTTCTGGGGTAGTTTGCTGATATTGGTTTACTGCATAATTTTCAATCAGTTTTGCTTTTACTGTGATAATTGTAGCTTTCAGTTTATGCTACAGCCTGAAAGAACATACGGCTTGACTTTATTTTGAGATCCATCATCAAATTTATATGCTTTGCGGCTTGATCTAGTGACTGGAAGTTTTTCGAGGGACAGGTCTTATTCCTTTTTCAATGCACTAAGGGGTATCCAGCCAGTATGGCATCCCAGTTACATGATCTTCAACCATATGAGTTGTAGTTATAGGGGAAATTCAGTGGGTCCAAAGGAAGTATCCCTGGAACTCACTTAAGACTAATAACACTCAGTGCCAAGGAATCCAGCCTTGCCAGTTTCAACTTGTAGGAGGTTAAACCTAGTTCCTACTTTTTGCTACTACTATACAACTTCACTATTCCTTCTGAGTCCCCATTTGGATTTCTTCTTATCCACTGGGACAAGTTCCATACTAAGATCCCTCAAAGAAATCATTTTATATTCCTGTATAATAACAAAAGGTTCATGTATTCCTTTGAGGAAAACAAGATGTGGCCACACCTTGACAGCCTGAACTGTAATGGTGTATTACAATTATATCTCTACAGCAAGGAACAGAAGAAATGGTCAGAGAAGTCTTATGTTTAATCATTATGGCCCGCTACAAGAGGCCTCATCTGTGCCCTCAGCGTCATCATTCCTCAGTACCAGATGTTGCTGGACTCCCTTCTGTCACCTTCTCCTCTCTTCAGAACACCTCCTCTGCAGCATGATCAGTCAGCGCCCTCAGGAGGTAAGGGTCATCTCCCAAGCCCACTCCATGCTATATCTTTGTTATTTATCACAGTGCCCCAGGATTGGAGAACTCAACATCTAAGCCCATCACTTCTCTACCCCTTTGAGAAGTAGCAGGCACTGATGAAACTGTCACAGTGCCAGTTCCTTTTCCAGTTGTAGACATTCAGCAATGCAAGTATATACTAGTAGATTTTCTAAGGATCTTGAAAAGTTACTGACACTTTTCATACCCTAACAGTGGCTTTTGATCTGACCTGATGAGATGTCCAATTCACCCTCATCACTTGCACAGAAGGAAAAGGAAAAGGATTAGAAAGACTACAAAGTAGGCCAGTGTTGAAGCCCTTGCAGCCTCACTTTTGAATGGCAAGAAGGGCCTGAGTCGGATTATAATAGGGGTTCAAAAACTAAGTAAAAGGCATTTTAGCTGGTGTTCAACAAGGGATCCCAGGCCTATGTACTGTGGTAAGCTCAGGTCTGTTAGTCAGGGCCTCAGTGAAAATTCAGTTGCATTTAAGTTTCTACATGAAGAAGCCCTCCATAAATATAAGAATTTAGACTCTGAGAATAAAAAAGGTCAGATTATCTGAAGGCAGTATTTTATCATCCAATCAACTCTACACACTAGGAAAAAGCTCCCAAAACTCCAACTGGCCCCGCAAAACAAAATAAATCAGGGCTGGTGAGATGGCTCAGTGATCTAAAGCAGCTACTTAGAACAAGCTTAACAAAGCAGAGAGACCGCAGTTCAATCTCCCAGCACCACATGCCAGCCAGCCCTGCCTCCTGGTGGGCTGAGCTGGCCACACACACATACACACACACACACACACACGCACACACACAAATTAATTAATTAATTAATTAATTAAAAAAAATAGAGACCCAGTTCTAGGCCAGGTCCGGTGAGTGTGTGGAGAGCTTCCTGCTAACCTGCACCGGCGGGACCAGTCCCACCCAGGTGCATCGTGGGCCAGACCCTCTCCCACCCCCTCGGACCACCCCCCACAACTCCACCTTATCTCCCCACCCCTCCCGTCGAGTAGGAATTTCTGCCCACTTCCGGGAACCCCCACATCCAGTCCTAGCCCAGGTCTGGTGAGTGTGTGGAGAGCTTCCTGCTACCCTGCGCCGGCGGGACCAGTCCCAGCCAAGGCGCATCGTGGGCCGGACCTTCTCCCACCCCCTCGGTCCCCCACCCAGTACTCCACAGTACCACCCCCCCGCGCCCACCCACTAGG